CCTAGGCCTCGGCCTCCCATCCCGCCTCAGGCGGACGCTGCACGGCCTCCTCGGAGCCGGGGCTCGCCGGCGGCCGGAGGCCGAGCTCCGCCTCGGTTCCCGGCTCGGCCCGGCTTCCCTCCTTCTCCCTCCTGCAGGCCACGGGTCTTTCCGCTCTAAAATGGAGGACGGCAGCGTCTGCCTTCCCTCCGCTCGCGGGTGTTTGCGGGGCCGACGCGGCCTGGCCGCGAACTCCGTGCCGCTTCTCCACCCGACGGCCACGCGAGCCCCCGGGGAGCCTTCCAAAGGCTGCAGCGCCCCGGCCACCGGGCTGCCCAGGACCGAGAACCGCGGACCCCGATGGCAAACGACAGGACCGTGACCACGAATGTGCACTTCGTAGCACGGTCTGGAGAAAGCCAGCAGCAGGGTCTTGGTGGTGGTGTTTTTTTTTCTTTAATCCCTAAACCCAGCCACCTAACCTGATCTGGTTAGCTCATTTGTAATTGCTCTACGTAGAATGGTGCATGTCACAAAACATGCACCCAGTGATTAATTTCTACTTCCTTCCCAACCTGGTGGAAAGGTTTGTTATTTTATTGGTTTTTTTTTTAAACCTTGGATCATGGAAACTTTCAGACATATGGTTAAAGAATAGTATATTGACTTCCCAAATCTTCACCCCCACTGTTACTCTAAAGCAAATCAAATATATGCCATTTCATCCATTAAGTAATGTTTATAAGACATAAAGTCATCACACATGATTGTCTAGTCAGCGTTTACAGTTATATCCAGTCAGCATTTACATTTGCCCAGTTGTTTCTAACCTGCTTCTCATCATTTCGTCCAAATCAGGATCCAGACAAGCTACATATACAATATTTGGATGATAATCTTTTCCCTTGACCTTGTTGAAAAACCAAGCCATTCTGTGGTTTCCTACAGCCTAGATAATTGCTTTTTCCACCCTTGTGAATTCTTTTAATAAACTAACAGAGGCTTTCTCAGGGTCTGGTTGTTCTTTTTGCAAAGAAAAGTTCATGGAAGCTTACTGTGTAATTTTGGGGGGTATCATCAGGCATTAACATCTCTCTTAGTGGACCTTTTATGTACAAGTTCTGCGGGGTAACCTAATAATTGGTCAGGGAATTAGACAAGGACGCCAGCTAATACCTGTAAAACAGCATCTTTTGGCAGTGCCTAATGAAATGATGGATCTTGCCATGACCACTATTAGACAGCCAAACAATGTGTTCTACATTGAAGTATCTCCTCCCACTCACCAAGTACTATTGGCTCCAAGAATGGGGACGTAGTGTTGGGGTATCAGTGAATCAAGATTGCCCAAGAGTTGGTAACTCATGAGTTGAAGTTCAGTGATGAGTGTGTGGCAATGGAAAAATCTGATCTCTTCTGTATGATGGACTAGTGAGTTTAGGTTGCTTTATTCAGAGATTATCTCTCTCCATTGGCCTGTCTCTAGTTGTTAAATCATACTCCATGTTAGAGTTACAGGGGAAGGGCCTCCTTACCACTTTTTGAAATGATCAAAACATTTCTGGTATGTTCTGGGATGAGAATTGTTCTAGGCTGGATGGGGCCTAATCACGAGTTTTAAAAGCTCTCCAGGTAATTCTGATAGGCTCCAGTGTTCCCCACCACTGATCTTGCAAAGTGATTCTATTTTAGTATTTACAAGTGTTAGCATTATACATTTTATTCCTCATTCTGTTTATTCTCACTTAGTAAGGAAGCCTCTAAAGCCTTTGCACTTTAAACTACTTAATTGTTAGAGGATGTTGATCTTAGAGTGAAAGCAGAGTAACACAGAAAGGACAACAGCAATAACCTCAGAGCTTGGTTCAGGGGTTTGTGAGGAGTGCGTGGGGCAAAGTGTGTAGGAAGCTTATTGTTTCCCAAAATGGAAACAAAGGCTAGGTGACATGTAGTTAGAAATTCGTGTTTGAACTGATGGTGGCTCACAGGTATAGTTCTAGCTGCTTGAGGAGATTGAGATCAGGAGGATCACAACTCCAGGCCCATAAAGTTCATAGACTCCTTCTTGAGCTTAGCACATAGTTGTCATCCCAGAGACCAGGAAATATAAATAGGATCGTGATTCAGGCCCACCCAGGCAAAAAGTAAGACCCTAGACCCTATTTGAAAAATAACCAGAGCAAAAGAACTAGAGGTCCTTTTAGAGAAAGCGTGTTTGTCCTATGGCAAATTTAAAAAATACCATCAGTATTACCTAGGAAAAAAGTTAAATATCTCAAAAAGTTAATAGTTCCTCTCCTGCCTGCTTCCTTATCATCCTAATCAGCTGGGAGATGCCAGGTATTAAGAATATGGGGTGTATCCATTTTTCATATCAGACTTTATCTTTTACATAAGTGAAGGGGTTGAGGCACTGTTAGAAAAATGAGATTATATCATAGACATCTGTAGCTTTTCCCACTCATAGTTGCAAACCTGAATATGTATTAACTGCAGGGTATTTAATGAAATAAATAATATTAGAAATGTACGATACCATTTCCCTGTTGGCATCTATTTAGATTACTCCTATATTTTAATACACATAAGAGAATGGTTAGACATTATTGTGTATAGATTCATTTCTGCAGAGCAGGTTCCCAAAAATGAGATTGCTGGCTTTGTTAGTAATAGCATCCTTAATGATAACTTTTTTTTTTTTTGGTGCTAGTCTTGGGGCTTTTACTCAGGGCCTGGAAGCTGTCCCTAAGCTGCTTTTGCTCAACACTATGAGTCTACCACTTAAGCCACAGCTCTCCACTTCAGGTTTTTTTGGTAGATTAGTGGAGATAAGAGTGTTGCAGATTTTCCTGCCCAGGCTGGCTTCAAACCTGGATCCTAAGATTTCAGCCTCCTAAGTAGCTAGGATTACAGATATGAACCACTGGTGCCTGGCTACATTAGTGATACTTAATACCAAATTATTCTCCCAGGACATAGTCACACCTCCCCATTAGTAGCTTTTGAGAGCATACATTTGCTGATTTCTCTTCAAGGTGGGTAGTACTGGCTAATAGTACTTCATTTACATTAGCCAGCTGGTGTGTAAGAAATGGTGTCTCTTCTAAATACCTAAGAACTGACCACTTTTTATAATTATTGGCCATTTGATTTCTTCTGTCATTCGACACATTTTCTATTTTCTTTTTACATCATTTTTTTTGTTTGTGTTTTTGTCAGATGTGAGACTTGAACTCTGGGCCTGGGCACTGTCCCTGAGCTCTTCAGCTCAAGGTGAGCACTCTACCACCTGAGCCATAGTACCACTTCCAGTTTTCCGGTGGTTAACTGGAGATAAGAGTCTCATAGACTTTCCTGCCTGGGCTGGCTTTGAACTGTGATCCTCTTGAGTAGCAAAGATTATAGGTGTGAGCCACCGGTGCCTGGCTTACATCATTTCTTTAATGCTGGTAGTAGAACTTGGACTCAGATCCTCATTCTTTGGCATTTTTTGCTCTAGGCCCTTTACCACTTGAGCCATGCCTCTAGTTCTAACTTTGCTGGTTAATTGCAGATAGGAGTCTCATAGATTTGTCTGCTGTCCCCAGGGTGGCTCCAAACCTCAATGAGTACTCAGATCTCAGCATCCAGAATAGCTAGGATTATAGTTGTCAGCAAACTGGCTTTTTTTGTTGTTTCCTGAATGCCTTTGCATAAACTTTTTTTGGTCCAAGACTGGGACTTGACTCAGTACTTGAAGCATTTGCTCATTGGCTAATGCTCTGAGCCACATTTCCAATCCCTTTTGCATAAACTTTTTAAGGAATATTAATTCCTTGTCATAAGGAGTACAAATAATTTTTCCAGCTAGTATGTTTTTGTGGGCATGTGCCAATGCTGGAACTTGAATTCTGGGCTTTGTGCATTTGCTTGGCCTTTTCACTCAAAGCTAGCACTCTACCACTTGGGGCACTGCTGTACTTCTGGCTTTTTGCTGGTTAGAGATGAAAATCTCATTGGCTTTTTTGCTCAGGCTGGCTTTGAACCTGATCCTCAGATTTCAGTTTCCTAAATTGCTAGGAATATATGAATGCCCAGTCCACTGTTAGGTTTTTGTCCTTCGACTTTTATATAAATGGCACTTTTACCTTCACAAGGGTTTCCCATCTCCAATGTATTATATATACATATATGTATATGTATATATAATACACATATATATATTATGTAGAGAGAGACATTCTGATATTTTTCCCCAGTGCTGAGGATAGAATCCAGGGGCTTGTGAATGCTAGGCAAGTTCTCTACCACTGAATGACATTGCGAACATCTTGGATTAGTGGGGTAAAAGTTGACAAGCCAATATCGACACACTTAATTAAAGCTTATGTCATTGTGTTGTACAATTAACCAATGTGTAATTATGTTTATGTCTGTACACAGTGGTTTTGCTTCCCTGAAAACCTCCTGTTCTCCACCTGTTTGGTCTTCTGTCTTCCATATCATTGACAAATACTGATCTAAAAACTGTCTCCATGGTTTACCTTTCTGAGAGTGTCAGATGGTTGGAATTCAAGTATAGTTTGTTTGCAGTGCTAGGGATTGAATCTATGGTTTTGAGCCTGCCAGAAAGTGCTCTAATACTAAGCCCCCAGCCTCTCAGCTGTAAGACTTTGCTGTTTTTTCCCCAGTACCGGGTTTGAACTCAGAGCCTCCTAATGCTCAGTTTACTTGCTTAACTAGTGCTTTACCCCTTGACCCAACCCATCTGCCACTCCCTAAGCCTACATAAACACATGTTCTCAATACTTGCCAGAGGAGTGAAAAGCAAATAAGGAATTACAGGAAGTTCATTGGGCATAACTAGATGTTTTGTTTTTGCCAGTCCTGGGGCTTGAACTCTGCCTGAGCACTGTCCCTGAGCTTCTTTTTGCTCAAAGCTAGCACTCTACCACTTGAGCCACAGCACCACTTCCAGTTTTTCTGTTTATTTAGTGCTGAGGAATAGAACCCAGGGCTTTGTACATGCTAGGCAAGCACTCTACCACTAAGCCACATTCCCAGTCCCCCAGCTTTTGACCAATTATTTTGGAGATGGAGTCTCTCTTCTGCCTGGGCTAGCTTTGAATCTTGAGTAAGGAGTAAGGATTATAGGCATCAGCCACTGTTGCCAACTGTAATTTTTAATGGATTAGATTTAGCTGTTTCTGTTTCTGTGTGTGTGTGTGTGTGTATATGTGTGTGTGTGTGTGTGTGTGTGTGTGTAAATGTGAGCAGTTATGTAAGGCTTCGTGACATACAGTTTTAGCTTTATTTAAGCTTGAGATGCAGCGTGGTGGTTGAATACATGCCTAGCATATGTGAGGTCCTAGGTTCAAATCCTAAAGCCTCCCTTTCCCACCCCCCTCACCCTTTTAATGTTAAAACTGGAACGTAAGGTTTGAGTGGTGGAACATATATATGTTCAGCAGGTATAAGGCAGTAGAGTCAGTCTTTAGCACACACACAAAAAAATTGATAACAGCAAATCTCCAGCAATTTGTTTTTGGTACAGTGACTTGAAATAATCCCCAATGATTTTTCTGTTTCAGGGTGGAAGATGTCTATGGATGTGACATTTCTTGGGACGGGAGCAGCATATCCATCCCCAACCCGGGGTGCCTCTGCTGTGGTCCTTCGGTGTGAGGGCGAATGCTGGCTCTTTGACTGTGGGGAGGGGACACAGACACAGCTTATGAAAAGCCAGCTTAAAGCAGGTCAGTGTGCATTCCACTTTCTCATGATTAGCATTTGTTCCACCCCCTTTTCTTGGCTGTCCATGGGCCTGTTGTTCAAAAATAGTCCAACAGTGGCATCATTCTTCAGTCCTAGAGTCCTGACAAAACTTCAAAGGGTCTCAGGCATCTCGTTATGCCCACTGAACTTCCTGTAATTCTTTATTTGCTTTTAACTCCTCTGGTAGGTATTGAGAACATGTGTTTATGTAGGCTTAGGAGTGGGAGATGGGTTGGGATATGTCAGGCCTAGTAAATGGACACTGCCCTAGCCAGGCAGAATTGCATGTATTTCTTTCTACCAGGTGATAGTTGTCATGATCAAAAGCAAATCGGTAACTATTCAGAGTGAAACCCTCTTTCTACTTGGGTTTATCAGAGAAGTTACCTGTGAATTGTAGAGAAAGGTGGAGAAATTTCCTCAAAAAGAGTTCCAGCTAGAGGGAATGGAATGAGCCAAGGCCAGCATTTGGGAGATAGGGAAGTCCACTTGTAGAAACTCTCAGCTTAGATTCAGGCAGATCTAGATTTTAATCCCAGCTGTTTCTGAAGCTCGTAACCTTAGTGGATCATCAGAGTAAATTTTATTTTCCTTGACTGAAAACTACTTAGAAGGAGTATTATGAGCTAGATGTGGTGGTTGGTAGTTCATGTCTGTAATCCTTTTCCCTTAGGAGGCAGAGGCAGGAGGAAGAGTTCAAGGCCAACTGGGATTATGTAGTGAGACTCTGAAAAGATGGGCAGTGATGTTATGAAAATTATAGTGTGTGTTATATATATTATATCCATAATATATAAAATTCCTTCTTTGAATGTCTGCCTCTTTGGAGGCTTTTCTGAACCCCCTGGGTTAAGTAATCTCTTCATTCTAGTAATTCTATTATTTTAGCCTATTTTTATCAACTTCTTAGCATCATTAGATTCTGGAAATATGGTACCTAAATAGTTTTGTTTCTGTGCTCTTTGAACAATAAATTATATTGAGCAATCACTTATGTTCCTCGTAGAATCTGTTCAGTTCGTAGATTGGCAAGACATTCAGGAACATTCAAGACATTCAATGCCTTTGACTTTCCGGGTCTTGATAAATAGTAGTTGCCATAGTACTCCTACAATTCATCTCAGAGCAGGGCACTTGACAACTAAAGGATATGTCTAGTGTGCAAGGATTTGTCCAGCAAGAGAAACTGATCATATATGATGATGAGTAGAATTCTGGAGGTGCTTCCCAAATACTTTTGGAGCATGAAGAAAAGGGCACCAACTATGGTAGGACATGTGCCTAGCATGTGTGAGGGGGCCTGGGTTCCATCTCTAGCATCAAGAACAAAAGACATAAAAGGAAACAAAATGACTATAAAGTAATTATTTGAAGTATCACAAAAGTACGATTTTTTAAAAGTATCTTGTAAAGGTGATGAGCTGAGAGGTTGCAGTTAGATAAGTAAGGTAATGAATACATTTCTTTTTAAACACTGCTACCCCCTTTTCATTTTCTCCTGCTTACCCCTTTCTATTCCCTTCCCCCCTGAGTTGTATAGTTCATTTCCAACATAGTGTCAAGTGAGTATCATTGTTGCATGAGTTCATCCTTAGTCCTGCTGTTTAATAGTACGATTTTAACATGATTATACAAATGTCTAAATGGGAATGGGGTTATAGCTGAGTAGTGGAATGTGTGCTTGGGATCTGTGAAGCCCTGGGTTCAGTTTCTAGCACCAAAAATGAAATAATGTAAGGAATTTTAAAATTATATTAAAAGGTATATGATATATAGAACATGTTTTGTAATTGTGGGACCATTTGAGGGTAGTACAAGGTAAGGAGAAAATGTTAGAGAGTAAACAGTATATTGAATCTGAGCAAAGATGGCAAAATGAAACTTACTGAGACCTGTTGAATATTAGGGATGGGAGATGAAGAAAGTGAAGATGAGCCAGGGAGTTAATCTTATTAAAATACTGTATAAGGCTGAGCACTGGTGGCTCATACCTGTAATCCTAGCTACTCAGGAGGCTGAGATCTGAAGATTGTGATTCAAAGCCAGCGCAGGCAGGAAAAGTCATGAGATTCTTTATCTCTAATTAATCACCAAAAAGCTGAAAGTGGAGCCATAGCTTAAGTGATAAAATGCGAACCTTGAGCATAAAAGCTCAAGGACAGCACCTAAATCCCGAGTTGAAGCCCCAAGACTGGCACAGGAAAAACAACAGCAAAAAGCTGTATATGCATGTGTGAGACTCTATGGGTAAAACCCCTTTTTACAGCCGGGCACTGGTGGCTCACGCCTGTAATCCTAGCTACTTAGGAGGCTGAGATATGAGGATCATGGTTCACAGTGAGCCCAGGCAAGAAAGTCTGTGAGACTCTTATCTCAGTTAACTACTCAGAAAAAGCCAGAAGTGGCGCTGTGGCTCAAGTGGTAGAGTGTTCACCTTGAGCTGAAGAGCTCAGGGACGGTGCCCAGGCCCAGAGTTCAAGCGCCACAACCAACAAAAAAAACAAACAGGGCTGGGAAGGTGGCTCAGTGGTAGAGTGCTTGCCTTGCATGCATGAGGCCCTGGGTTCGATTCCTCAGCACCACATAAACAGAAAAGGTCAGAAGTGGTGCTGTGGTAGAGTACTAACCTTGAGCTGAATTGCTGAGGGACAGCACCCAGGCCCAGAGTTCAGGCCCCACAACTGACCCCCCCTCCAAAAAAACCATCTTTTTACAATTAGCATACACTAAAAATAATGGATAGAAACATGAAATAGTTCCTGTCAGATGGGCATACCAGTGGGGGTCAAAAAATAGTTGAGATACATGACAAAAATGGAGCTATGAAGCTTGTTGAGATTGGTTTGGGAAGAGGGAGAGTGATGGAGGGGCTGAATATGATCAAGGTCAGTATATGGATATATCAGAGTGTAACCTCCTTCTCCAACTAATTGATGGTATAAAATGTATGTATTTTAATTTTTTAATTTTTATTTTTTTGTAATCCTGGGACTTGAACTAGGCCTGGGCACTGTCCTTGAGCCTCTTTGTACTCAAGGCTAGCACTCTACCCCTTGCCACAACACCACTTCTGGCTTTTTCTGAGTAGTTTTTCTGAGATAAGAGTCTCACAGACTTTCCTGCCTGGCCTGGCTTAGAACTGTGATCCTCAAATCTCAGCCTCCTGAAGTTAGGATTACATGTGTGAATTACCAGTGCCTGTCATAAAACATACTTTTAAAAGTATGTAAATATCTGGTCACCAGTGGCTCATGCCTGTAATGCTTGCTACTTTGGAGGCTGAGATTAGAGGACCATGGTTCAAAGCTATCCTGGGCAGGAAAGTTCATGAGATTCTTATCGTCAATTAAGCACCAAAAATGCTGGAAGTGGAGCTGTGGCTCAAATAGTAGAGTGCCATCCTTTAGCAGAAAACACTAAGGGACAGTATCCAAGCTGGCTTCAAGCCCTAGGACTGGTGTGCACATGCATGCGTGTGTGTGCACACACAGTATATATGAAAAATAATTATAGAGGTGTAAACAAACCAAAATGGTATAAGAAAAGCCTAAATTGTTTTCTTGTAAGTTTATTTCTTTTTGTTTGTTTGGTTGGTTGGTTAGTTTGGGGCTTGAACTCAAGGCCTCCCTTTCTCAGTAAGGGCTGAGCCATGCCTACAGTTCCAGCTTTTTGCTTGATAATTGGAAATAAGAGTCTTACAGACTTTTCTGTTCCAACTGCCGTCAAATGGTTATCCTCAGATCTTTGCCTCCTGAGTTAGGATTACAGGTGTGAGCCACAGGTACTGGCTCTGTAGGTACATTTTCTATACGTCTAGACACAGTGATGGGGGGATGGGAGTATTTGTGTATGTGTGAGTAACTTTGTCTAAATAGAATCACATTGTATCTGGTGTAGCCTGTTTTTTTATTTTCAGCTGAAGAGTGCATATGTACAGCCTATCACTGACCTTTCCCTATGGCAAGAGTATGACTGCATTGTTATTTTTAGAGGATGCTTAGCATCCCACTCCTATGTGGGCAGTATGTTTCTCCATCTCTTCCTTGTTCTCAAGGGAAAGGGAACACATGTGTTTTTCTCTCTTCCTTGACCCTTCCTCATACCTTTGATAACTGTGGTTGTTTTTCATTCTCTCTGAAATCAAGTTTCTTGGAAAAATGCAATGTTTGTCTTTTCTGAAACTGTGATAACTGTGGGAAGCAATTTTTCACTTACTTCATTTCCCTTTGTGATTTAGGTTCCCAGACTTGTTTTGATATTCAGCTTTGACTTTGTTTTGGAGTAGATAGGGAGAGGGCTCAGAAAGTGTGGTGTGTAGGTTTTGAGGCTAATGTGTGAACTGAACTCAGCAGCTGTTGTAGTCCCATTATCTGCAGAGACTTCAGGTCTCTGAGATGGTTTGATCAGGGGAAAGGAGGAAATGAAAGGATTCTCAAATTCAAAAAGAAATTCATGAATTGACAAAAAACCAAAGACTAAAAAGAGAAAAGGAATATATTAAGAAAACTTTTAGAATGAGAGAGCATGTCTTGGGGATGCTCAAGGTCCCAAATCAGCCTCTGTCGAATCCTTTGTTCTCTGCTCCCCCGTTCCTTTAAGAACAATTCTGCCATAGGTTGAATCACGTTGTAGTAAACTGCCCTGTTCTTTATGGTATTGGTAACTGCTTCTGTTCTTTGATGGTATCAGATACTTAGTGTGCTAGTTGTGATTGTTACTTTCAAAATGCCTATGGTGCATCTTAGAAAATGCTGATGTGGCATCCTGCCACATACCAGCAGTAAATTGACTTTACCATTGGCTAATTTAAGTCGTAACCCAAGCCCTTGTGTATGAAAAAGCTGGTGTGTTTAGACTGAAAGTAAGAGAAGAGTGGGCCCAAGTGTCCTTACCTTGTACCCTGGGGGATCTGCCCCAGTCTGCATCTGCGATCTGTTGCTTGCCTTTTCCTTGTTTGTTATCCATTCCACTGCTACCTTTTTTTCTTTTCTTTCCTCCCCCTTCTCTCCCTTGTCCTTCTCCTTCCCTGAAACCTCATTGACAGAATCTGATTTGGTTAGTTAATCACTATCCAGTGAGGATTCCCTAAAAGGCAGTTTGGGGGTTCAGGCCATGGTATAGTCACTTGGAGTCTATAGAACATTTGGTTTGCTGTTCTCAGAGGGAGCAGTGTAATTGTCAGAAGCTTTTGATAGTTGTTCCATTTAGCTAGATAAATTATTTTCTTTTATATTTCATGTGTGTGTGTGTATGTATGTGTGCATGTGCGTGCGTGCGTGTGTGTGTGTGTGTGTGTGTGTGTGTGTGGTGTCCTTCGGATTCTTTCTGCTCAAGGCTAGTGCTCTACCACTTGAGTCATTGTTCCACTCCCAGCTTTTGTTAAAAAAAAAGTATTCTATTGGAGTCTCATGAATTTTTCTGCCTGCTTTAATCCATGATCCTCAGATCTCAGTCTTTTGTGTAGCCAGGATTACAAGCATGAACCACTGGCACCTGGCTAAGACCTCTTTTTTTTAAGTGAAAAAATATGTCAGAAATACTGGGAAAACTATAAAATGATGTAATTTAAAGATATTTTATGAAAATGTTATTTCCCACTTAAGACCATCCAGTGAAATTAAGCCTGTCTCTTGCTTCTGGAATATTGCAGCAAAATGTAAAATAAGCTCATGGCAGTAGACAGAACTTATATTCACTTTTCTACTCTTTATAGGAGTTGCTAGGCTTGTTTCAAATAGCTTTGTCTCCATTTTCATTTCTGAAAACTTACTGTCTCTTTGTCTCAATCGAAAGGGAGAATCACCAAGATCTTTATCACGCACCTCCATGGAGACCACTTTTTTGGCCTTCCTGGCCTCCTCTGCACAATCAGCCTGCAGAGTGGCTCTACTGCCACTAAACAGCCTATTGAAATCTACGGCCCTGTAGGGCTTCGGGACTTCATCTCGCGCACCATGGAGCTCTCTCATACTGAGCTGGTCTTTCCTTATGTGGTCCATGAGCTGGTGCCAACTGCCGATCAGTGTCCTCCAGAAGAACTGAAAGAATTTTCATATGTGGATAAAGCAGATGGTTCTCCCAAAGAAGGACAAGGAAGAACTATCCTGTTAGACTCTGAAGAAAACTCCTACCTTCTGGTTGATGATGAACAGTTTGTTGTAAAAGCATTCCGCCTCTTCCACAGAATTCCTTCCTTTGGGTTTTCAGTTGTGGAAAAGAAACGCCCAGGTAAACTCAATGCACAGAAGCTGAAAGACCTTGGTAAGTGTTTTTAACCCTCTCATCATCTGGGCTGTTTTAATTAAGCCATTAGCAAGATCACAATAACCTTCCTTTAATCTCAGACGTAAAACAGACAATTTCTGTACTTCCTTTGCCTAAAGTTTTCTTTTTAAGGGGAATCCTATGGGTCAAAAATGCTATTTGGAACCAAAGCCAACTATGTTTTGAATATTTCTCACTTCAGCTTCTTAGATTCACTGGTTTGGTCAGCAAGGTGATTTGGGGGTAGGGGTGAGATGACGATGATAGTTTTAGATCTAGGATTTATCTTTATGGTTTTTTGTTGACCCTGCTATAGATTGAATCTAGGGCATCCCATGTGCTAGTCTGCCAGTGAGCTATACTTTTAGCCTTCACATCTTCCTATGGAAGATTTTTTTTTTTTAGTTTTTTTTATGGTTATTATAAAGGTGATCTGGGGCTGGGAAGGTGGCTCAGTGGTAGAGCGCTTGCCTTGCATGCCTGAGGCCCTGGATTCGATTCCTCAGCACCACATAAGCAAAAAGCCGGAAGTGGCGCTGTGGCTCAAGTGGTAGAGCGCTAGCCTTGAGCTGAAGAGCTGAGGGACAGTGCCCAGGCCCAGAGTTCAGGCCCCACGACCGAACACCCCCCAAAAAAAAATGTGATCTACAGAGGGGTTACAGTTACATAAGTCAGTAAAGAGTGCATTTCTTTTTGGTCAATGTTAGCCTGTCCCTCACTCTTCCAGTTTTCCCTCTCATCCCACCCACAAGTTATGTAGTTCATTTTCAATACAGTGTCTAGTGAGTATCATTGCTGCATTTGTTTACTTTTGTTTCTCTATTTCTGTGCCTCCCCTTATACTCCCAGAGACATTAAGAATGAACATATAGAACATAAATGAAAGAAAATAAAAACAGAAAAAAAAACCTCTTGTTTTATTTCCTAGAGTTCATTTCCATACAGGTTTTGTTTTTTTGAGATAGTCTTGCTATATAGCCCAAGCTGGCCTCGAACTCACCATCCTCCTGTCTCAGCCTCCCTGGGCTAGGATTAGAAGTTTGTACCATCAGGCAGAGCCGTAAGGTATGTTTTCAGTGACATCATTAGTTTTTGCTACAAGGAGTTTTTGCTATTAATTCTTCTCCTTACAGCTACAGCCAACTACTTCCAGGTTTCCGTCACTCCCCCTCCCCATCTTCTTTCCTACTCATTCAAATTAATTTGGTGTTTAGAACACAGCATTTCCACTAGTTTTACCCATAGTTGAATATGTAATCTAATACTATGGGGAAGAAGCACAGAGATGGGCCTGGGCCCCTTAGAGGCTTCCCGCCGTTGTGCATGAGGGGTTCTCAGCTCCTCTCACTAACAGAACAGTCATCCCATTTCCAGCATTGCTACCTCCCTTGGCAGAGGATGGCTCTACCTATAAAAAATATGAATTATTTTTCTATTCTTTATGCAGTCTCTTGCTCTACCAAACTAAGATGCTATATAGTATTGTCTAAGGACAAAGGTGTTTTTCTTATCTAAAAGCTTGTGGAAATTCTATTCTGCTTGGGAAGTTTAAACAGGATCTGTATTGGAATTAGTGATCATGTAATATTTTTGTAAGTATTGTCCAGAGTGATGATCAGATATTAAAGTAAGGTTGAGGCCCAGCTTGGTAAATATGGAGTTGCTTCTACCCACCAGTCACATGTGATTGCCTGAAAGGCTTCTTGATCTTGCCATCCCAACAGTCTTTTCTAACAAGTTTCTTAAAAAGATAGTTCATAGGTATTGGTTTTGCCTATGTATTGATTGCGTTATTATTTAGACGTGTTCTTTAATTTTACCCATAGATGAGCCTATTGAATAAAGTAGCCTCAAAAACTGTCACTGCCATGCAGAGTTTGTATCTTGGCTGTAGTAAGGTCTTAGTAAGATTTGGAAGCTTATATGTCACTTGACATGCTCATTAAATGTAAAGCCATTATTAAAATCAGTAATGAACACATACAAATATCTCAAGTTATTTACAAATAGCAAAACATGTATAACAACTGTGAAAGGAATCATATGCTGTTGCTGTGCTGTTAAAATAGACTTTTAAAAAGTCATCAGTTCCTTACACATGATGTAATGTTACCTGCTTTCATCATTAGGTGTTCCTCCAGGCCCTGCCTATGGAAAGCTGAAAAATGGAATTTCTGTGGTTCTAGAAAATGGGGTTACAATTTCTCCTCAAGATGTGTTAAAAAAGCCTATTGTTGGGAGAAAAATCTGCATATTGGGTGACTGTTGTGGGGTTGTGGGTGATGGAGGCATGAAGCTGTGCTTAGAAGCAGACTTGTTGATTCACGAGGCGACCCTGGATGATGCCCAAATGGACAAGGCAAAGGAGCATGGCCACAGCACCCCCCAGATGGCAGCAACGTTTGCAAAGCTGTGCCGGGCAAAGAGGCTCGTTCTGACTCACTTCAGTCAGAGGTACAAACCAGTTGCCTTGGCCAGAGAAGGAGAAGCAGATGGCATTGCAGAGCTGAAGAAGCAAGCAGAGTCAATATTAGATCTCCAAGAAGTAACTCTAGCGGAAGATTTTATGGTGATTGGCATTCCAATCAAGAAATGAAACCAGCGTTCCTAAATGTATGTTGCCATGTCTGTGAATGTGTTACCAACCAGATTTTTGGTTTGGTTTTTGTGTGTGTGTGTGTGTGTTGGTCTGAGTATCTATCTGGGTCTTAATAATCCTGAAAGGATTGAGCTGCATTGCTGAACTGACTCGGTAAGGAGAGGGAACAGATGAAAAAAATCCAGCACCCTTCGTAAAGTGCAAAATGATAGATTTGACAAAATGGTACATTTTTACTTCCCTCTTTTAGCTACTATCACAGATAGCAGCCAGTATTCTGTGCAATCCTGGGCTTAGCTTCTGCCCAACTTTATTGCTCTTATTGGCCATGTGTCCAGGACCTGGCTGTCTTAACTAAAAATGTTATTTTGGTAGTTTGTGTTAAATCTGTTCGTATAATTAACAGCAGAGAGAAAAGTGTAATGAGATACTGTACATGCTGTATCTCTAGTAGTTTGACAATGGCTTTGCTGGAATACTGACTACATGGTTGAATTCGATGTTTATCTTAGTATTTTTGTGAACTTCCTGGTGGTTCTTAACCTGTGCTTCTCAGATGGGTGCTCTCTTTAGGAATCTGGCAGCAGTGGAGACATTTCCTGGTCACAGTGACCCAAGGGGTGGTGGTGGTGGTACTGCTGTACAAACTACTAGCTGGTTTGTACAGTAAAGATTTAGCTCCTCCCAAATTGCAAATAGCAGGCCTGTTGAGATATTCAAATTAAAACTTACACTCCAATGTCAATATACCTTACCAAAGTTAGTGACATAATGAGTTGAATTACTACATAAATCAAATTCTACAGTGGATCTTAAAGCGTGGATACTTGAGAATTGAAATACCATGTCAAATGTTTCAAGGTATGAGTCATCAAGTGAAGTTTATGAATGTGAACGCAAAAAGTTGTATCAAACAGGTTTAATTTACGTGTCTCTTTAATAATTCTTTGTTCTTTTGTTTACCGTTGTTGTATTTCCCAGAATGTGTTCTCTGAAAAGCTAGTATAGCATGCTGATGCATTCAAAAGGCTCCTTCCTCACACTGGTTTGGGGAAGTGTTAACGCTGTGTGCTCCCCTGGGACAGGGCTAGTGCCCTGCAACATTTTTTAAATGGCAGTACTTGTAATGCTTAAGAAACTGGTTTTGGGGCTGGGAATGTGGCTTAGTGGTAGAATGCTTATCTAGCATGCATGAAGCCCTGGCTTCAATTCCTTAGTACCACATAAACAGAAAAAGCCAAAGTGGAGCTGTGACTCAAGTGGTAGAATGCTTGCCTTGGGCAAAGGAAGCAGAGAGACAGTGCCCAGGCCCTGAGTTGAAGCCCCAGGACTGGCAAAAGAAAAAGGAAAAAAGAAACTGGCTTTGGTATCAGAAATACTTGATTCCAGTGTCTGTACTTTATATGGTACCTCTCTGAAGTCTGGAGCAGTTTACTCTTCACTCTTAGTTTCTTTACCTCTTTCATCTCAAAAATTGGAAAAATAATAAAACCTACTTCATAGGATTGTTGTGAAGATCAATGAGAGTGTATACAAGGAGCGCAGCGGTACAGAGGCCACCAGCTCTTGAGACTCTCTCATTCCTACTCCTAACCTCACAACAACCTAGACAAAATTATACTATGTGGCACAGTGGACACTAAAATTCCTTTCATTTCTAGGGTTTCACTGATCAGAATGTCTGCTTTCTTCTAGTTGGAGAGGCTGCACAGCAGTGATAGTCAGATAGTTCAGTTTGCTTAAGTTCTCAGTCACTGTGGTGTGGCCTCCAGAGTGGCTAGATTCTCATTCTAAACTAATTCTTACCCCTAAAGTGCTCAAGCTTGACCAGAATCGAAGTATATCTTTGTTTCCAAACTTAATTTAAATAAGCATTAATTCAATAACTACTGTGTACCCAAATATGTATACGAGGTAATAGCTAGAACTGTTTTTTTCCATTCATGTAGTTCAATAGGGTTGGAACCATGTTTCAGTCACCTCTACATTCTTAGACTTGTCCATCCAGTCAGAAATGGTTTTTTGAATGAAAAGAGAAGGTACTATATGTGCACACTGCAGTGAGTAATGCAGTGCTCATTGCATCATTGTACTTGTCAGAACTTTAAACCACCTGCTTGGTACTGTGGATTCACTGAGTGCCAAGTGTTGAGCTTTGTTATGTTGGTACAGTATATAACCAAGTGGACAAAAACCACACACATTTCTAGCCACATACCTGAGCTCACAGTCTAGACGTAGAAACAGATAAATAAGCCAAGGCGTTCTGATCTTACAGCCTGACACCCAGTTTTTGCTCTTTTTTTTAGTGTTTTTTGGTAGCTGGTTTGAGCTAATCTCTTAGACTCAGGCTCTGTATAAATGTGGAAAGACCATGGGAAGGAGTGGAGCTGTTGAGTCAGTTAATTTTTAGTTAAGTAGATGTACAAAGAGGTTACAATTCTACAAAGTAGGTTATGAGTACAATGCATCTTGATCAGTGTCACCCCTTCCATCATTCTCCCCCATTTTCTCCCTCCCATCTCTACCCTCAAGTTCTGTAGTTCAGTTTTACATAATGTATATCGAATATAATAACCATATTTGCTCACCCTTCTTCCTCCATACAATTTGTTTTTAATGAAAGGATTTGTGAAGCTAGAATTCCAAATGAAGCTTATATTCAACTTCTCAGAACCTGTGATCCACTCAAGCTGAATGACTAAAAGGTACAGGATCTAATGTGGACTGTACCCAAGCCTGTTTGATTACTGAATGCTCCTTTTCCTAAGGAACATCGTGAAACACCGCAAAAATCTAGCCTTATACTACCAAGTTTATTTGTATGTTTCACTTGCACAATTTATTCAGGTAATAATTTACTCATCTAAGTGCTTTCTTTATCCTAAATAGACTTTGAGTTGTCAAGAATTTATAGGTACCTAGTTGTTGCAGATTTTTTAAATATGCATTTTACATTTTCAAAAATTGTTTAGATTTTCCTCAGTGGCTTCAGTATTGACTGCATTTTCTAATATTCATGCCTCACTAAAGTACTTTTAATGAACATTGATTGACTCGTAATAGCAGTTTGCTCAGTATTTCCTTAGGGAATTCCTTAAGATTCAAGAAAAGAAGACAGTTGTTCCTGACTCAATCACCCTAAAAGCATCTACTTCTGGTCCATTGGTCCTCAGACTGAGGACTGAGTATGAGGTGGGTGGACAGAGACCCTTCTTCTTCCTAAGAACTAGGTCACTAGGCCAGGGTGGAACCTGAAACTCAGCATTTGGGGCAGTATTGAGATTTGAACTCAGAGCCTTGCTGGACTGGCACCCTATCACTAGAGCGATGTCCTCAAGCTTTTTTGCTTTATTTTACTGCTAAAGTCTTGGATTTTTTCCCTGGAGCTATCCTCAGATGCTGATCCTCCTACCTCTGGCCTGTTGCATAGCCGAGATCATAGACCAACTCACACAGCTTGTTGATCCAAACGTGAAGTCTTGCTAGTAGTTTGTATAGGCTGACCTTGAGCCTTGATCCTTCCCATCTCGGCCTCCTGAGTAGCTAGGATTACAAGTATAAGCCACTGTGCTTAGCCTTTGAATCCATATTTTAATAAGCTCCTTAGGTGATTCTGAGGTATATGAGTGGCAGACCAGCTAGGAGAAAAAAAGTCTTTTTTTTTAACATACTGAAATTGTGATGTCTACAAATACCTTACATATACTTGCACATACATGTATGTGTATACATGTCTATACGAGTATTTTTATATGTAGACTAACCTTCCTCAACTATTTTTTCATTTGAGGATTTTCCCATAGCATTAAATACTCTCTGAAAGCCATGAATTTCATGATGTCATGTAACTCTGTTCTATATAGTATATTTAACCTTTTTGATTGGCTATATGTCATCACTTAAGAAATCTTTTAAATTTATTTTCATAGACTGGAGCTTCTCAAACTGGAGATCCTCCTACCTCAGCAGGAGGCTTCTCAAGTGCTGGGATTACAGGCATGCATTACCCTGCCCAGCATTAACCTTTTCCAGGAAGATCCTATAAAGATAATGTTGGGGCTAGAGATAGAGCATCTGCTTAGCATCTGAGACTCTGAGTTCCAGTACTAATTCCCTAATACTACAAAAAATAAAAATAAATAAAATTCTAAGAAGATTCATTGTCATTCCTAGTACAAATTAGTTTTATTATATCTTTCAACTAACATATAATTACTGACTTCATATTCATATGCCTGGTTTAAAAATGGGTAATTTGGGATGAAAATTCTCACTTTTTCAAATAAGTCCATGACAAATATACAGCGAAGGTTCACTTTTCTCCTAACAATGATATAACTTTATAGTGAAATGGGCTGGCTCTGTTCTTACATATTGATGGGTTTTCCAGGCAATGAACAAGTGAGCATTTTTCTTACATGGAAGTTACTAGAAGGGAATTGCTGGTTGGGTTTTGAACATTTTGAATGTTCCTTCTTGACAGGTAAGATGAGAGTTGAAGGGGAGTAAGCCGGTGTTTCTTCCCCAACAGCAAGTAAGCAGTGTCTAAAACTGGAAAGTAACACTTTAACATGTTAGGCTTAGAGCAAAGGGGAGGGTCAGGCTGGAGCTCAGTAGGAGCCAGTGTGAACATGTACAGCATCCTGGGTTAACTGACAGCCCCTTCCCTCAAAAAAGAAGAATGGGAAAGAATACTAGATGAATAGTTAAAATTGGGGAGGGATCATGTGTAGGTATACAAATATGTTAAAACCCATTATTTTGTATAACTTAAGATACACTTAAAAGTATTTAAATTTTTTAAAGTGGAAGCAAGGGCCCGTGCCCGAAGGTCAGCGGCTCTGTTATTTTGTTGGAGGACAAGGAGAAGTAAGCCTTACAGCACTAGTACCATTTGATGCTTTGAACGATTTGTATATATGTTCATTCACTATGACAGTTACATGAGCACACTATAGGAAGAATATCTGAATCATGCTGTCAATACTCACCTGTCTCCACACAGGCCATTAGGCAGTTGACAATTCCACACAAGTCTTTAGAACATTCTAGTTCATTCTAGCCCTCTGCAGCCTCAGTGGCATTTTTTGAAGATGCACATCTGAGCCACCTCTTCAACCTCATTCCAGTGTTAGCTATGCTGCTGCCCCAGTGCATGGGCCTTGCTGAGACTTTATGTTGTCACAAAGCCTTCACAGGGCCTGCCTCCTGGCCTGCAGTGTTCCCTTGGCCTCTCCCCAATTAGTCGAGTGGGTTTAATCACAGCTCTGCCACCCCAGCCTCATGGGAGGCCTGCCTGACTCCTGGGTGCACATGACTCTCAGCACCAGCACTCACTTCCAGGTGCTCAGCACTCCGTGTTTGCGTGTTTGCTTTGCCTCCGTGAGTATTTGACTTTTTCTCTTTTCCATCCCAAGAGCAAACTGTGTCTAGCTTCATACCTGGACTACAATAAATGGTGTGTTTACTGGCTCCGTTTTCTCGTCCTCTGTTATTTTGTTAATATTCAACACCTTGTTCTCCTTATTAAATCCATATTAAAATCAAAATCCGTACCCCTAATCTCTAAACATACACTGACGAAAAAATGGTTGACCGTAACTCTTTAACAGGCAAATAATTATTAGTATTAGCCTTAAAACTCTAGCTTGACTGGGCTCAGTCATGCCTTAAAACCAGCTGCTTGGTGGGATATATCAGAGGGTTGTGGTTCAAGACCAGCCTGGGCAAAAAGTAAGACTCCATTTCACAAACTAGTGGTATAGTTGTACCCTCTGTAATCATAGCTACAAGGGAGGCAGTAATAGGAGTATTGCAGTTCATACTTGCCCAGGCAAAAAATGGGAGATCTTATTAAACAAAAAGGGCTGAGGGGATAGCACAGGGGTGCTTGCCTACCAAGTATAATTTGATTTCAAACAAAAAATTTTGCTTGGTGTCTTAAGAAATGAAGACCGAAACCTAGAGCTAAGGAAAAAGTTGGAAGAAAGATTTTTTTTTTTCTGCCAGAGAGGTTAATGTTGGCTCTTGCTCTGTGTAAGGATCAGAGCAAAGGGAGGAAGAAGGCGTGTGAGGGTGAACCCCAGGCAGGCGTGTGGTGCCCCAGGAGAGTAGGAGAATGGTGGTAGAACCTTTACTCAAAAAAAAAAAAAAAAAGATCTCATTTATTCTGAGCCACAT